ATATAAGGGGGCCTTATTGTAAAGTGGTACCTTTTTTAAAAAAATTAATACATTACATTACAAGTGTTTGAAGAGTAAAATGATCTGGGAATTTATGAGAGGATGTTGAACAAAGACTTGGCCCCTCTATGAATATTGTGGCCCCTTGATGGCCCCTGACTCAGAAAAATCCTAGATCCGCCCCTGSARTGGAGAGAAGTTATCAGTAACGTGTTGCTACTATCAGGAAAGTTGTAATTAATCTGTCATTTCAACTAGTTCTGGYGATGTTACTGTTGTCTGGAGATGTAAGAAATGCAATTATTTTCATGTTACAGGAATAACTGAAGAGGCTGAGAGCAGGAGGGTCCTGCTGCCGTCGCTCTGGTACCGTTCAGACAGCGAGAACAGCTGATCAATCATGTGAGGTGAATGTTTGCTCTGTCAGAACTTATTCGACAAATGTGTTTCTATCCCTCCTTTTGCACATGAACTCTTTTTTGCACAAACAAAAAACCACCTCAAGCGAGCGTATCAACYTTTTTGTGAATCAGAGGATGTTTTTTTAATCGTGTCGTTTCCATTCACCTTTTCTGATGCAATACTTCAAAATGCACATTTAAAAACCTTGATGGAAACATGGCTAATGTCTGAGGACAACTTTAAACACTCCTGCTTCCACTATAGGAGTGGAGACAGGAGTAAGCTGTCCAGAGGAGAGACAGAGGTGTGTTGGTAGGATGTTAGGATGCAGCTGCCAGGTAAAAGACAAAGAACAGACGTACTGTACGGAGTGTGTTGGAGTGARGAACGAGGAGGATGTTTCATGTAACCATTTTTATTTTTAATTTTCTGTTGGCTGTGGCAGCCATCTTCAATTGGACTCTAAAAATTATTTTATTTTAAACTCGCATCCAATGATTATTTACTGAAAGATTCACTAAAAAGAGATATTATGCTAACAAGCAGCTCAATGCACACACCCAAACAATAATGGTATTATCTGCCTTTTAGTAGCTGTTAATAAAAAAAACACCTTTTCTAGTCTGCTTCATGGGAGACTTCCTGCTCCTGTACAGACTGGCACAGGTTGTAACCCTGCTGTCCAGCAGGTGGCAGTGCAGTCAGGAGAAGCTCCATGAGTGAGTCTGGTGGGAAGCAGGGAGGTGATGGGGCGAGGAGGAGACAGGCTCTAATAGTGGCGTCCTGCTTCGTCTYATGGCCCAGAAAGATCTGAGGGTCCTGCAGGAATGTGACAGGATGCCTGGTGGGTGTGCAGGCCCAGGTGAAGGTGATAAAGGTCCTTCATGAGGTGCACTACATGCCAACCAAGTCTGAATATTTATCAGTATTTACTGAAGTCATCCAAGACAGGTAAGATGTTATTTGACAAGTTTCAATCTTTAACCTGCTACACTTCAAGACGAAAAGGTGAAGTGTAACTGATGTCACCGTAACGATGCAGTTTACTGAACATCATCATCATCATGACTGAACTGGAGGAGAGCTGGGTCACAGCTCAGTCCCACAGGTCTCCTCAAATGTCACTGCACCGCTGCAGAAAGCTGCAGGCAGAGAGTGAAAACCAACACATCCTCTACAAACGTGCAGACAGTGGGTGTAGCTGGGTACGCTCTGTCCTCCTGAACACAGAACTCMTGAGTCCAGGCGGGACACCCTGCTCCTCCCTCTGTAAACCCGAAATAAACTCTCTGTTCTCCACATTGTCATAATGGATGTTCAAGCTGCCACTTTAGTCTGGTTAAAGGGTCCTGCGTAAAGTTTTGGCATTCTGAACCCTTTACTTTAGATTTCAGGCTGTTCCCACATGGAGCCAAGAAGCTAAATCTGTAATCTGAATATAAAAATGGATTCTGAGCTGCAAGACGGTCAACAAGTTGCCCATGCTCCACCAAACCACCGAGGTTTATGAATTCCTGCTCCCAGCCAGACAAAGTGTCAGTGAGAAAATAGACCATTCTCTTCTCCCTGAACATGACATTTRTGGTTTTGCAGCGCCACAGACTCCAGCAGTAAAGGAGACTTATTTTAAGCTATTCCAAGTTCTGAAGCCTAAAGTCTGCCTGGAACGAGCTGTCCCTTTGGCCTCAGCTGAATCGTGAAACACATCTGACTCTCCTCCTGTCAGCAGCGAACACAAAGCCCCGTTTAACCCGCAGATAAAATGGAAATGTTGCACTTCTCGTTGGGTCTGATAAGCAGCGGCAGAGGCTTACGTGCTGTTCAAGATTTGGAACCGTTCTCCTTTCCTGAAGCTGAGGTCGTCTTCTGTCCTCGCCTCGTAGTCGTAAAGTGCCACAAAAAGGGTGACTCCTGCAGGAAGGATCAGAAAACAGAGTCAGCTCTCTGAAAAACTGAAAGGCAACATGAAAATTTAGCTCTTAGCTAAAATAAGTTGAACATGAAACTTAATATGTGAGCAAATTTGGACGAAGCCTGGAATCAGTCAGATGAATGTATGGAGTGTCACAGTACTCATAAAACAAGTGGGCACAAACCTTGGTTTTGGGGTCAAGGTTTGGTTTAACAGAAAGAAGGAACACACTAAATACTATTTAAAAGGCACTAATCCTCATAAAGGCAGAGACATAAAATAAATTCACATTAATTTAACAACTGTAACTTCACTTTAAAGTTAAACTAGAAGCACTGGGAGAGTGCAAACCTCCGCCAAGACCAGTTTCCTCCATCCTGTAAGAGTTAATGTGTAAAAGCAGAGATGAAACATTTACTGAATAAGTTCTGACGTAGTGAACATTTAAGCAGCAGTATGATGGGATTTCTTCTCTGTGGAGTCCAATGTGAAAACAAAGTCAGACTGGTCAGCTGACGTTCTTCATGGTCAAACTGGTGTGGGATTAAGCTCCTAAGTTTCCATCAGTCACATTTCACCATGTAAAACGTCTGTTTTATCTCCTTGTATGAGTTTGTAATGGTTTGACTCTCTTTATAAAGTGCTTCCTGGCTCCCCCCGTCTCCAAACTTTGAGGCCCGGCAGCTCTCTGTTTACAAGCCTAGTAGAGACAAACTGTTTTCATTGGTTGTTTCAGAAATGTGGTGTGTTTGAGGAAATGGGAAAAATAGGTTTCATGGTGCAGTCACACACTTCCTGGTCATAAAACGTTCTGTAAATGTGCATATATGGTAAAAATTATTCATCATTAAATGTGGTTTTAACATTACTTTTATAAAGTTTGAAGTCCGTGCTGTCCAATCCAGCTCACTGTTTTTTACAGAAGCCCTGTGAAAGCATCACAGCTTTGCCGACCTCAGAGTGTTAAAAGAAAATAAATTCCTGTATCCACATCGTGATCCAGAACATCACCAAAATTTAAAGGTGTGTTCCTTGGACCAGTACACACATGTGGTAAAAATGTCATGACAATCTGTCATCAAGTTTTTGAGTAATGTTGTCCACAGACAGAACGACAGACAAATGCAACCGAAAACATTACCTCACCCTTGGCGGAGGTAATAATAAAATAACACTGTACTGTTATAATTAATCAGTTTGAACTGCAGTCGTACACAAGTGTCAACAAAAAGTTTGATCAACTGAGAAAGATCCTGCAACTAATTTTGAAAAATATCAGGGCTTACAAAACGTTCCAGAAAGGCTTTAACTCGTTGCTCGTTTCTTGTCTGCTTTCAGAAAGGCCCAGTTAGGATAACCGCACTGCTCCAGGGCCTGTCTTGTGTGTGACTTCTCTTTCAGGGATGAAGATGTTCTCATCCTTGATAGAGAGGAACGTTGGTTTGAGAGAGGAGTAAAGGAAGCCATCTTTGTGAAGAAAAACCGTCCACCATTAAACAGAGGTGGAGGCCTTCGTGTCCAGTTGTCCTCCTCCTACAACGCTGTTATTGCAAGTATGACTCCGCCCCCTGTGAGCAAAAGGTGTGAATCAGGGCCTCAATGATACCAACACAAAGAGGGAAAAAACAAAAACAAGGGGACTTTGAGCCCCGCCTGCATTCACTACATACAAATGACACGACACGGGTCAGGTGATGGGTCACATGACCCTCTATGAACAATAGAGCAAATCAAGCCTATTGTTAGGTGATGGTCCTCTTTTGCATGTGACTAACCTGTTTGTCCATGTGGAGGCGGAGCTTATAAGGCTGAGTTCACCTGAAACTCATCAGACTGAAGAAGTCTCTTGGAGGAGAGACGAAACGTTTCACTAAAGAAAAACCATCCAGAGGAWCTACTGATTTTTTCTTTTTGATTATTTCTACCTGGATTACTGAGATGCATCAGGACACTCTCTCATGTTTTCTCCAGTTGTGGATAATAGTTCTGTTTAAGTGAACCATTGATTCTACAGGTCTGTTAGTAACCAGGCCTGGGTGGGACTGGTAAAAGTGACCTCAGATTTCTAAGAACTGATGAGCTCTGCTACACTGATAAGTCTTATCATGTCCTCTAGGTGTAAGAGAATTGTCCTGTATAGTGCATATCTGTTCACAGTACAGAACCTCTGCAGAACCGCCACCTTAACATAGTGGAGGAGTTTGAATACTTTTGTGATCCTGGGGGCTACGCTGTAAGTCAGTCAGTWAGTAAGAAGGTAAAACTTTATTTATATAGCACCTTTCAAGACAGAAATCACAAAGTGCTTCAACAAACACAAATAAAAATAGAGCAAATTTAAACACAGATTTAAAAAGGTAAGTTTTTAACTGAGCTTTAAAAGAGTCCACAGACTCTGCTGATCTTAAATTCAGAGGAAGAGAGTTCCAAAGCCTTGGAGCCACAGACGAAAAACCTCTGTCTCCTTTAGTCTTTCATTTTGTCCAAGGAACAATCAGCATGTCTTTTTCACAAGACCTCAGAGCCCTGACAGGAGTGTAAAAATGTAAAAGTTCAGAAATGTAGTGTGGTGTCTGACCATGCAGAGCTCGCCAAGGCAAAACCAACATCTTGAATTCACTCGATAATGAACCTGGAGCCAATGGAGTTGCATTAACAGTGGAGTCACATGACAAAACTTAGAAGATCTAGTCAGGAGCCTGGCAGCAGCATTCTGCACAGACTATAACTGGTCAAGAAAGGTTTTAGTTAGGCGTGTATACAATGCATTACAGTAATCTAAACACGATGAAACAAAAACACAAAGTAAAATTTCCATTTCTGAACGAGATACAATGGGGCTGAGCTTTGCTATATTTCATAGATGGTAGAAACAGGAACGAACTAAAGATTAGACATGATGATCCAGTGGAAGACCAGAGTCAAAAGTCATCCCAAGGTTTCTAACTGAAGATTTATCCAGACTACCAAGAGGCCCAAGGATTTGCTTTATCGCTGCTGGAGTTATTTTTTCTGGTGCAAAGATAATAACCACTGTTTTTTCTTCATTTAACTGAAGAAAACTGTTAGTCATCCAGCTCTGTATTGAATCCAAACATCGTAGTAAAAGGCACAATTTTGTTAATTCATGTAGAGAAAATGAGATATACAACTGAATATCATCAGCATAACAATGATAGGAAATATCCTCAAAAGATGACAAGAGGGAAAATATAAAGCAGAAACAACAACGGCCCCAAAACAGAGCCTCGTGGAACACCAAAAAGAACAAGACAGGCATGGGATCTGTAAGTMGATGAAGCCAAAAAGGTTGATGTGTCAGACAAATAAGAGGAGAACCATTTTAAACAGGAACTGAAATACTAGCACAACTTCTCAGTCCAACATAGTCAGATGGTCAAAAGTGTCAAAAGTGGACAACAGGTCCAACAAAAGCAGAACTGAACAATAACCTTTATCACACTGCATTAACATGTCATTTGAGACTCTGAGGAGTTTTTAGCTTCAGACCCTGGTAGGGTCTTCCATGGCAAGCAGGCCTCGGGTGAGGAATCRGATTAAGARTGATTCAAAACCCTTGATGAATAAAGCAACGKTTGCATCCAGAAACCTTGGCTGGAGAAGGGAAACCGGGGAACCCCTCCTTGGGCCCTGGTCTAGGGGGGGCGCTTGCCAGTGAGTACCTGACTGTCGAGCCTTGGCTCCTGGGGCTTGGCTGGGCCAAGCCTGACAGAAAGACAATATGCCAMCRCCATTGTGGGCTCACTTTACATGTTGAGCAAGGAAAGATCCTTGGTCAYGCCAGTTCTTGGTGACAGAATAAGTTAGGGACATGGAAAATCACATTACTCATGGATACGAAGCTGGAGTTTGTGTGTGAGGTTCAACAATACCAAATAGATGTAGTTGGGCTCACCTCTATGCATAGATTACATCCTCTGACACAGATTATTTAGAAGTTCAGGGTCTACGGGACTGGAGATAGTCTCCCCGGACGTGTCYACAAGAGAACAACTGATGACAAATTAAAGAGACTGATAATATGAACAGAAACCAAGGAGTCCAGAACAACCTCCAAAGAGATTAGATGTTAACGCCAAGGTCAAGGTACACCAGTCAGATGGCACCAAGGTTGGTGAGCTAAAGTGGGCATAATGAAAGTAAATCAGGAGGACTATCAAAGTTTTCTGAAGTGAAATGTGCTGCACACTGTCAGAAAACATGACCTCAGTTGCAGGTTTTATGTTCTCAAGCAGGATAATGACCCAAARCACACAGCTAATACACTAAAGAATGGCCAAAATCTTGGCAGGAACTGAAACATCTGGAGAAGGAACCCGAGACAGCTGGAACAGTTTGTTCATGAGGAGTGGGACAGAATACCTGTGAACAGGTGCAGTAATCTCAGAATTACAGAAATTGATTGATTGATCGATCGACTGATTGATTTTTAATAATTATGTTGAACCAAAAAAGTAACATCTGGTTTTCATTGGATGTCGTTTAGCAATTTACTTTATTTGAATTACTTTTGTTAATATCCAAATTAGGGATGCACGATATATTGGCACTGACATCGGTATCGGCCAATATTGGTCATTTTTTAGAATATCGGTATCGGCCCGATTTGTAAAACGGGGCTGATATTAATGTCCGATATTGTTTTTCCATTTTTTAGCTTTGTGTTTCTGTTTTGGTAGACAAAATGTTTGGTCGAGCGGTATCTGTTTGATCATGATCAAACAGATCATGTGCAGCCAGGAATAACTGAAGTAGAGCCATGTCAGAGGTCTGGTTGTTTATTTGAGGTATCAAAAAAAAGACCCAAGTGTGTTTGTGCGTGTATGTATACAAATAATTTGTGTGTGTGTGAATTATCGGTAAATATCGGTTATCGGCGATAACACCACTAATAATATCGGATATTGATATCAGCTGAAATTTTCATATTGGTGCATCTCTAATCCAAATATAACTATGACTTTTGAGGGTTTTTAGTTCTTTAATTGTCTGTAAGTGAAAAACAAAACTTAAGAGTTCTTTCAACTTGTTTTAAGKGAAGCTGTGATGTTAAATGAAGCCTGTCCTCAGCACATCTCTTCAGATTGGAGCTTGTTACGAGGTTATCTGTCTGATCAGAATGAACTTACACATGTGACAATAAGCAGAGTGGAGCAGGCTGAYGGAAACTCTTTGTGGTTTTAAAGTAGTCAAGGTAAACAGGACTGAGATTGTGTAACACTGAATGTTCCATTAGATCAGCAGAACCTCACTGATTTACCTCAGAGAGTGTCTGCTGGGATGCCACTCAATTAGTTACATAACATCATGGGACCAACTCAGACTTTCTATTTGAGAAAATGACAACAGAAAAACCTGATAATCAATAAGATGACTAATAACATTTGGCTTCCTCTGCAGTTCGACTGGAGTGATTCATGTGGTGGCAAATCAGGAAGGCAGCAACATGAAAAAAAAGGTTGAAAACTGAAGGATGGCTTATTTCCAAATTTCTTCCACCAGGAGAAAATTAAAAAGCTAAAGCCTGGTCTGCTCCTCTGCCACGGCCTGGATTTGGATTATACAGCGCAGGGAAAAAAAATCCACTCTTTTGAGTTGGAGGTTTCCTGATAAGTAAAGTAGAACTGCTGAGTTCCTCTACAGAACAGCCCCGGCTCAGTGGAACATAAAGGATTTCCTGAGTAAGAAAATTCTCCGCCTCAACAATGAGCTCAGTGCACAAAGCCTCGTGTTAATGCCAGCCGGACGTGCCTCACGGGGGTGGTCTGGGGTTGAAGGGGCATTAAAACAGCAGCCGCGAGGTCAGGATTGTAGGGATTTTGGGAAGCCATGGGAAGTCTTTAACAGCAAAAAAAATCCCTCACAGTTTGTATTTGCAGAGTTAAGTGTTTGTGTGCAGATTTAAGACTTGCAGGAATTTAAACTAAGATCCTCTATGATAGAAAAGGATGGATTTAAAACCGTTTCAATCAAATCTTGTAAATCATGCAGTTTAATGCAAAAACTCAAGATGTGTTAACGAGGCCTGTGTATTGACAAGAATTTGGCGATACGATACATATCATGACAGAGGGGTCACGATACGATATATTGCGATACTGTAAACAAGGTGATATATTGTGATTTTTTTGTCCAAAAATTCTATTAAATAAAAACCTCTTACTGGTAAATAAATAAATAAATAAATAAAATTCATTGTCTCAGAAAATTCTAATATTACAAACATACTTCTAATACATTTAGCTGTGTTCTGCTTTGTATGTGTTTTATTTTATTTGTTTCATATTTCTTATTTCATCCATGTTTTCAATTATAAGACTAAATTTGCCAATAAATAGTTTGAAAATATATTTTTTGCAGCTTTTAGTTTTTAAAATTAATTTACACACGGGGGAGTGCCTAACTCGAGGCGCTCCGCATGCGCTACATGCATGCCTGCCTGCCTCCTTTGCATAACATGAAGGCTGACTACAGATGGAAAAAAGAGCACACGAAACTCATAATTTGTCTTAAAATCCAGACATTGTGACAAATAAGTAACTGTTTGTAACCTTACCTCAGCTTAGAAGGCAGAGGGTGTCGGTCTTTTCTGCTCAGATTCAGCTATCGGAGCATGAAGCTAATGTTTACTCACAATGCTAATGCTACCCTTACTCTCTGGTGCTCAAGAGGTAGAGGAGCCAAATGGCTGGCTCACTGCTGCCAACTAGTGGTCAGAGGCTGAACTACAACATAAAAATGAACGGCTGGCAGGAAAGTTGACATTTTAAACCTTAATAAAAAATCGATACAGGGCTTTAGAATATCGATACAGTATCGGGAAATTAAATATCGCGATATTTTAGTGTATCAATATTTTCTTACACCCCTAGTGTTAGCGCTCAGGGTAGCTGTTGAGGATGGCTCTCAGTTACTACCACATCAAATCATCAACTGACCAAGTAATACCCATGTTTCCTGATGTTGACTGGCTGTAAATATACATCAACTGATTACTTTCAGAGTTTCTCTAAAAGGATGGAAATATTCGATCAGACTCACAGTTGAAAGAAATTAGTATTTAAAATGAATGCTTAGAAACTCCTTGAAGGCATAAAGAAAACCATTTACCTTTTATGCTGTAGTTTTAAACTAAGATCATTTCATGCTGATACATGAAAGAGTAACAGCAGTTTTGGTCAAACATTGAAAATAACATGAATACCATGTACGGGTGTAAGTAAATATTGATACACTGAAATATCACAATATTTCATTTCCTGGTGATCGATTCTTTAAAGCACCGTATACATTTTAATTAAATATGTAATATGTATGTACAATATGTATATTAATATGCAAAATGTCATACCAGCAGCTCATTCATGCATTGTAAAAGAAAAAACAAAGCAGTCTTTCAGCCATTTAGCTTCTTCACTCCTAAAGAGCCCGAGAGTATAATACTAGCTCAAACGCTAGCATTGTGAGTAAACGTTAGCACTAAGTGTCCTGATGCATCTCAGTAATCCAGGTAGAAAAAAGTTTTTTTTTTTTTTGGTTAGCACTAAGTACTGATTGACTCTGAGTGGATCAAACCGACAACCTCTGCCTTCTGAGCTGAGGGTTAACTGTCCTGTTTTAGCCAGAATGTCCCGTATTTTAAGGAAGTGTCCCATACGGGACGCTCTTTCTTTCAGTCAGAGCTGTCAGGATAGGTAGGTATTCATGCAAATTAATATTAGAAATCTAAAAGCTGCCACAAATATATTATCAAATGATTTAATGGCACATTTGCCAAACCATTGAAAACATGGATGAAATAAGAAATATGAAACATATATACAAAATATATAACCAGTATTGCAATATATCATATCATTGTGTTATATGTATCATATCACCACATTCTTGCCAATACCCAGTCCTAGCGTGCAGACACCTCACCTGTCCCTCCTCGGGTCCTCAGGGTTCCAGTGTGAGTGGAAGTATTGACGCCTCCAAAGACGGCCATCCCTTGTGCCACAGGGGCGTGGAAGTTGTTGTAGTTGGGAATGGCGGTGACCCCAAAGTTGGGGTAGTGCTGCGGTGTGGGGTCGGCCCCATAACGGTACCCAGCTCCCTGGGAGATGCTGGTGTCTCGGTCATCTGTGAGTTTGGTTGCCTCCTTATCCTTGCATTGCACACAGCCCATTCTCTATAATCTGTTGATGAGAGACGGAGGGGGTTAGAGGAGGTCCAAGGTTGGCTGAGGCATTTGAAAAGGATGAGATTTAAAACAATACAACTTTTGCCTCTTTTCCACTAGTGCCACTTAGTGTAGAGTCAGTACAGTTCGGTACGGTTCCAAGCCATTTCCATTAGGCCAGATCCATGGAACCGGCACTTTTTATTAGTACCTAATTCATTGTGGTTCCAATCGGCCCCAGCTGACACCAAAATGCGACGTCAGAACACTGTTCTTTACTGATTGGCTAAATTTTTGCAAATGTTTAAAATTTCAAAAGTTATTCATCAAATGTGTTTCCATCTCTCATTTTACCCATTGATTTTTTTTTCAAAATACCTAAAAGCCATCTCCACCATCTGCCCAAAACACACCCATTGGAACCGGACTAGAACATCAGTGGAAAACCAACCGGTCCGACCCGTACCTACACCGACCGTTTTGACACTACACTAAGTGGCACTAGTGGAAAAGGGGCATTAGGGAACCAGGATGACTGATCTGCTGAGGAAAGTGTAACCTTTTCATTAAAGACAAGACATTGTGGTGTAAAAACAATAACTCCTAATAACTAAATGCCAACATTTTGGTGTATAAACTGTAGAAAGTGTAAAGGGCCACTAGGGTTACCACCAGTGGTGGGCACCAGCCCGCTAAAGCACAAATCCACTAATTGCGGACCTAAATATTTCATTTGTGCTTTAGCGGTCTTACTAATTTTTATAATACATAAGCAGATTTGCGCTTTCTAAAATTAAAAAGCAGTACCACTAATAACTAATTATCTACCAGTCATCATTATGTTGAATAGCAGAAGGTATGACTGTCAATGAATCACAACACATGTGATCTATCCAACAGCACCCCTCCCAGATAAACACACTTATTGTGAAGGTATACATCCTGCTGACTGTTGCTTTGGGTCACGGTTCTGATTTCCCACAATGCTTTGTGTCTGCTTACATAGCAGGAAGGCAATGTTTAGAACTCCCTGTCCCAGCTAAAACAGTTAACGTTTGTAATCCATACTAAATTTTGTATGTATTGATTTATTTTACTATACAATCTGAGCTCATTTAAAAAAAATAAAAAATAAAGTTTAAATGCTGGAGCTCAATACTTGACGTAAATGGTTGAAGCAACCGGCCAACGGGGTTAGAGACTCAGAAATGATTTAAAGATGTTAAACTGATGAAGACTGACATCTAGTGGTCAACTGGAGCAACTACWTGGAAAACTTTAAAATCCAAGCTCTTATTTTGAAGTGAAGATAGTTTCCTGTACTCTGTGCTTTCGTTTCCCGTCACAAATCAAATCCATCATGTACCCAGAATGCATCGCTTCAGTTTTCCAATAAACAGTTTTAAAATTACTTTATTGATGCTTCTTTAATGAAAAATCTACAACAAACAAAAGAAAAAGACAAAGAAGCAGCCGAACTAGCAATCCTCAACAACTTTTTAATTTTTACACCAGGACCTAAAGGTCTGTTTCAGGAAATCACATCCCCAACAATCGGCGCTTGTAGAATTAAGTTGTACAAAGGTTCTTGCACCACTAGTTGGCAGTGTTGTACATATATTGTACATGAATTATTGCCAGCTAGTAAGTGTCGAATTGAACTTGTGCTTTAAAATGAGCTTCTGCTAGTTTTTCTGTGGCATAAGCGCTTTCGAAATTGTGGAGCTAATTTTTGGATTAGCGCTGCCCACCACTAGTTACCACTACTGACAGACCTGTAGGGTCACTGACTTCACCTCAACCTCCTAAAATTGACCAAATGTGCACCAGGTAAAAGTACGCCACCAAGGAAATACTGGACCATGGGTATCCAGTCCTGGTCGTCCATTATACTGCATGTTTTACTCGATTTTCTGTTCCAACATGCCTGATTTTGGGTGATTGTTCTACCATGAAGAGGTCATTCACTGAATCAGGTGTGTTGGAGCATACAGGATAATGGTCCTCCAGGGCCAGGATTGGACACTCTTGGTCTGAGTGGTGTGTTGATAAATGTAGCATGTAAGCTCTCAGCTGGACAGGTGGATGAATGAGGGGAAACATGCCGAGGAATGAAGCGAACACAAACACATCCGACGCCATGACTCACTTCCAGGTTTCATTTCACGCTGCTCTTTCTACAGCTGCCACTCCACCACTGATAAGAGCTCCCGCTGTCGGGGAGGACAGGACCAGTTTGGACAGCCTGACACACAGCTTGGTCCCCAGATGACTCACACAAACAGTGGGTGTCTTTCAGGGCCGGCAGGGAATAACATCCCTCTGCTGTGACAGACACTGAGCTGTCAGAAGAGACAGACACACGGGGTGGTGTCAGCATCGCCATGATTAGAGAGCTCTGAGGGGACGGACCGCCACAGACCGGCTGCTGACCTGATTAAAGGGCTCAGGTCTAACATTCCTCAAAGGAATCATCACCTGCCACCTTCATTTCCACAGTTAAATTAGGATCATCGTATGATGACAGACACATTTGGTCAAGCCTTGTAAAACATGATTTGTGCGATGCTAAGATCATTGAAATWTACAGAAAATGATCTTTAGACTTACATCTACAACTGATCTACTTTCAGTCAGTTCAAGATAGCTGACGAAGCTAACGAAAAACACTGAAACASCTACGACCAAGTCCTTTTTACAGATACTGAGCTAACGTTTCATATATCAGTAGTTAGTATGTGTTAATACCAACATACACTCTGAGTGACATCTTATTCAACACATAAGATGGTTTTAACTTTACAAAAAAGTCTAAAACTCCTGAGTTTCTTCAAGGAAACAGAAAAAAACCTCACATATACAGAGGTACTGTRTATAATAACAGCAAACATTTACTGCATTACAGTACTTATGTCATTTTTTGAGGATTTGTAATTTCACCAAGTATTTTTTTTAAATCACAACTTTTATTTTGTTGCATTTAAAACATTAAATGATTCTTTTTCTTAACGCCTTGTGACATGCTACAAATTTGTTGTTTATGCACTCTAAAAAATAATGTGTTGAAGCAAATTGATCAGAAAATGTGCAAAAAGCACTTTTACTTTCCTGATTACTGTGAGAAGTTTATGATTTTTACCTCCACCAAGGGCGAGGTAATGTTTTCCGTCGCGTCTGTCTGTCTGTCTGTCTGTCTGTCTGTCTGTGGACAACATTACTCAAAAACTTGTGGACAGATTGTCATGACATTTTTACCACATGTGTGTACTGGTCCAAGGAACACACCTTTAAATTTTGGTGATGTTCTGGATCACGATGTGGATACAGGAATTATTTTTCTTTTACCACTCTGAGATTGGCAAAGCTGCGATGCTTTTACAGGGTTTCTGTAAAAAAACAGTGAGCTGGAT